TGGAAATGGACGTTCTAACTAATCATTTAAATCTGTATGAACTAGCATCTGGTGCTAAGTTGAACCATAGTAAAACAGAGGGAGTTTGGATCGGAGACGAGAGGGACAAACCTAACATTAATGTTCAAATTAATCATGAAATAAAAATTTTGGGTATAACATATATATACATACATATAATTGTAGTGAAAGAAACTGGGAGCAAAAATTGACTGAAACCAAAGAAGAAGTAAAAAAATGGGAGAACAAAGGTACCAGTTATAAAACCAGAATCAACATCATTAAAACTTTCATCCTGTCCAAACTCCTCTTTCTGGCTAACATCTTTCCTCCGTCAGAGAAAATGATTATGAAATTAAATAAACAGTGTGTTAATCTAGTGTGGGGTACAACCAGAGAGGTCACTAAAAGAGAAATAATGTTTAAAGGTAAGGAATAAGGGGGTTTGGGGACTGTAGAACTGGGCATTAAATTAAAGGTAGCTTTTGTTAGAAATGTGTCTGCTGCAATCCTCAGAAATGCTCTCTGGATAGGGAACAGATCACTGTGGAGAAAAAGGAGAGGGAGAGACAGAACTGGCCCATATTATAAATTATTATATGCTGATTATCTAATGGAACACCAACATTTAAATATTGATTGGTGTAGTTCATCCAGTAAACATATTTTTAATATAATTAATAATTATAAATATGGAGGCCTTATAAAATATAAATACATATCTGATAATTATAGCAATGAAGTGATAAATATATTAAAAAATAAAACCATGTCAGAGAGCATTAGAGACAACAGATGGCTGACATCAGTGGGCAGACTCCCAGTGAGAGCAGTTGTTTCATGGAGTTGTTACGTTACCATCAAAATATGTCCAATGATCAACTGCTGAAACTCAAGAACATCTGCTAATGAACTGTTACAGAGCACAAGAGGTGTGGAGCATTTTAAAAGGTCTGGGTGTGAACTTTAAAGTGTGCTACAAATCTGTTATGTATGGATGGACTCTTGGATGAGAAGATGCCCCCGAAACACAAAGAGTTGTTTCAAATGATCATCAGTGTAGTTTGTCTTAAAATATGGAAAACAAGATGTGCCGTGACTCTACATCAGACTGTCATAGACAGCAACATGGTCGTGAGGCAGGTACTCACAGACCTCCGGAGGAGGAAAACAATGGACAAACTCTCACCTGAAGAGACACGTCCTCATGTTAATGATGTAATTCATCTGTTTAACATTGCTGTATAAGTTGTGTATTAAACTGAGTCTTTAAAAGCAACGTTATGATGTTGAATTATAGTGCAGTAGACTATATATTAATTTCATGGTTGAGATTCCTAATGCATACTAGACTATCACTTAAACGTGTCTCATAATGCTGTTCCTCAGTCATCTTGTAATCACCTGTATTTATTACAAACAAAAGCAGAAGCAATTCGGAAGAGAATAAGGTTAATAAAGTGAAAAAATTAGGTTTGACCCTCTGTAACAAAGAATGTAGTGTTTGTGGTGTGGGAGGATGACATAACCCTTTCTAAATTGAAAAGGAAAACTGTGGTTGTCAATAAATGCATCATGCTTCTTAGAACAAATTTAATTCATATTAATGTCATAGTCCAACAGTGTTTCAGGGACTTGTAATAATGTCTTTCATAGTTAAAATTAAATAAAACTTTTCAGACTTATGTGTAAATTGTATTTTATTAGTAACTTTTTAAAATCATAAGTAATATTAAATATCACAGTGTTTCAGGGACATTAGTGTTTTTAGTTTATTTATTTTTTTAAATAAACTTTATTAAATTTCAATTACAAGTACAGACAGAATTTATCAGCATACAATTTAGATATAAGACAACACAAGACAACAACAGGCTACACACCAACATGAGGGAAGATGTCAGTGTGTTTACAGCTTCAGTCACACAGGACTGTTTCAGAAACTCGTGTGCAGCGCATGCTCAGTCGCGTCTAGAGAAATAGCCAATGCTGTGCGAGTAACAGCACAGTCATCTTTGCATGAGTCACGCATAAAGTGTATCGTCTCAGAAACAGAGTTATCGTATCATACTTCCTCAGACATCAGCTGAAGCAAGAATGCCTGAGCCCGCCAAAGCACCCTCAAAAGGCGCCAAGAAAGGCGTCACTAAACCGCCCAAAGGCAACAAGAAGAGGAAGTCCAAGAAGAGGAGGGAGAGCTACGCCATCTACGTGTACAAGGTGCTGAAGCAGGTCCACCCCGACACCGGCATCTCCTCCAAGGCCATGGGCATCATGAACTCCTTCGTCAGCGACATCTTTGAGCGCATCGCCGGTGAGGCCTCCCGTCTGGCTCACTACAACAAGCGCTCCACCATCACTTCCAGGGAGATCCAGACCGCCGTCCGCCTGCTGCTGCCCGGGGAGCTGGCCAAGCACGCCGTGTCTGAGGGCACCAAGGCCGTCACCAAGTACACCAGCTCCAAGTA